GTTAAGATATCTCTGTTTGCGGACGACGTCCTCCTTACTCTGGTCGACCCAATGGTGTCAATTCCATCTTTATTGGATGATAGTCGTATTTATGGCAGTTTCTCGAACTATAAACTTAATTTGAAAAAGTCTCAAACTCTACCTTTTCTTTTATCCAAGACTCAGAAAGATATTCTTTCTTCCTGCTATAACCTGGTATAGGCTAGCGACATAATTGATTATTTGGGGATTAAAATATCTTTTGAAATTGATAGTGCGATCCAAGTGAATTTTGATAACTTATTCAACGAATTGCAAATTCAGGTGGCAAAATGAAAGAGGTTGGAATCTTCCTGGATAGGAAGAATAAATATGACCAAAGCATTTTTGATGCTGAAACTTTTATACCTCTTCAGGGAGTTAAAGAAAAATAGCTATGGCCATTTTGGCATTAGAATAGTTTGAAGTCATTATGTGCATAAAAACAAACAAACACTGTAGTCAAATTTAATCCTGAGTGACCCTTTAGGTATACAAGTTGTTTGTGCAATCTTAACAAGCTTTGGTTCTAATGTTTGTTAATTGGTGACTAATGGCAGTAGATGTATTAATGAGAAACTATTCTATTTTGCAGTAACATCAGAATTGTGTGCATAGAATAACAGGAAACTCCACCTTCTCCATTCAACTTTGCAACGCGACCAAATGCTGCTTTAAGTAGTGAACAATGCACCCTACCTGTTGGATAAGATGCATACACTTGGAAGACTGGACACCGTAGGCATTATTGACAATGTGAGGGATGTCATGCGTGGCACAGATCACAGACAGTTCCTCTATCCTTTTTGAAAAAAAAAACAAAACAAAAAAAACCAGATCATAGAGTCAAGGTTAATGAAAAATTAATGCATGTTGGTCATTGCAATGAGATATATATACACAAATATACACACACACACGGCTCAATTCATCTAAACACAAAACCTTGATAAAAAAAAATTTTTTTTTTTTTAACCTCCTTCTCTTTCCCCTTTTCCATCATCTCATACCCCACCCTCTTCTATTTCCCAAGTTAATAGATTTTTTTGCTGTGCTTCACCCTTCACTTGCATGGAGATAGAGCTGACATTTCCTACTTCTTTTACCTGGTACTGCGCTGCTAAAGATGTTCCTAGTGATGGTGTATATTAGAAGTATTGCATTTGACAAATTCATCATCTTATATACTGGAGGAACCCAACCCCCGCATTTAAGTGCATGCAGCTGATGACAAATGAATAGTGCTAAACGAACACTGGCCTCAATTCAATATATTTAAATAAGCTTTTCAAATCATTTTTTTTTCCAGAATGTTAAAATAAATATATGAGAAAAATAAGCGTAATTTTCTAAATATTAAGTCACTTTAAACGTTTATCCAAACATATTACATCAAAGCTCTAGTTCTAGGATCCACCAGAGAGGGATTGATTTATTGGTTGAGTGAATAAAATGGAAGAAACCAAAAATTTGTCGAGAGATGAATTTGTTGATTGATTAATTCCATCGTTTTTTGGGTTTTATATTTCATTTACAGATTTTCAATATTTTCTTTAAAGTATTTTGTAATGTGCTCCATTCTAATAAAGAAGAAAATGAAAAGCGAGAATAGTTCTACACAAGAATATAAATGTTTTATTGGGAGGTTACAAAAAATACCTGTCAGGTACTCTGGGAGCAAAACAGGAAGTGGTAGAATGAATGCACAGGATGTTCTCTGCTCCCAGCTCCTGGATTTTTGTATTTATGGCAGTAAGGTCTGTACGCAGTTCATCTCCTTCTAAAACATTTTCTATCACCACAGGTTCAAAACCTTACAGAAGGAAATTAATAGGTCAACAATCTTGTAATTATAGCCACAAACCCCAGATCCTGAAGGCGCGGTGACAATGGGGAGGAGTATATCATTGACATCTCATTAAGCAATAATATATCTTTATTTAGCCACAAAATGCTTCAACCTTAATAAGGAACACTATGGGCACCATAACCACTACATGATGCTAAAGTGGTAAGTTGCTTTCTATCAAATTAAAAGGTTATTACACTCTATACACAAATATATCCAGCTCTGTAGAATTTGTTGTGTGTATACAAACATTATACACACACACACACATTTTAAAAATAACATATTGACGTTTAAACATTAACACATTAACTTGTAAGTCTGAAGCTTATTTTGGTGACATATTTACAACAATAAAATAAAGAGACA